CCCCCCCCCCCCCCCCCCCCTCTTTTTCAGAAAGGCTTAATCTCCATATTAGAAAAAAACAGCATGTTCAGTGGTTGACCCAAAAAGTTTTGATGTTGGAACACCATCAACCAAAACACAACATGCTGTTGATGAACGATTGTACTTTATTAGTATTGTTTTATCAGAGAAGATTTGAAGTTTCAAAAGAATTATCTTTTATCTGTGGCCTATTAAAGAGATCTCCAAAGTTTGGGTAATTTTCAGGACATTTCATGGTTCAGCAAAAATCTCAATCTCTGAACATTTGCAAAAACAGCCACGATTCCAGAAAATTGCTTGAAACTCATGAATCTCATAATTGAGCATACAGAGAGCCCTTCAAGTTGCTCAGTCTCCCTCTGGAAGGGAAAGCTTTTGGGTGTTGAAGACCCGGGGAGGGAAGCACTACCAAAGGTTCCAGTCAGTCATTGGTGGAGAGTCTGCGCGGAGGCTTTAGAGAGGGTTTCTCCGGGTGAGGGCATGTGTGCTTGAAGAGCTATGAAATGAATTTCATTTCCTTTTTCTATGCCTTTCCCTCATTTGCCCACAGTCTCTGAGTGAAGCTCGCAGGCTCAAGATATGTGTCCCACTATTACAGGACTAATCCATCCATGACAGCTTTCAATTTCCTTTGGCAAATTTTTGCACCTCCTCAAACGAAGGTGCAGTCCTGTCTGGATTAGATATCTCTTTGAGTTCTTACACAATTCCAGGGACCCCACCCCATAAAAACTTCACCATGGACATTTAAACTGAGGGTCACATTCCCCCTCTGATTTCTGAGCCAAGTGGATTTTGAATGCAATTTGCAAAGGAAATTATTTCTTTGAAAACTGCAGTGCATGATTATATTAGGTAAAAGGTGTTTGTGTGATTTTTGCCACTAAATTTGGTCAGTCCAATCGAGGTAAAATCGCGGTAATTTAAAAGTGAAAATTATGCCAATTATGCCAGTTTTCCATTATTTAAAATGTTTAGTTTTAAAAACCTAAATTTTAACTCACCTTGACTTGATACAGTTACAGTGTACATATTATATATAATGCCCTTGATGGCATATTTTCCCGGAGAAAAAAAAAGTCAAATGGAGCTAGAATCATGATCAAAGTGCTCTTAATCATTTTAGTTTGGCTAATGGAGTGATGGTCTGATAATCCAGTCTATCAGAACAAATCATCAAATAGCGAATTGGGAATCAAATCAAATTCTTTTACTGGCCAGAAACAGCAATGCCCATCTGTATGCCAGCTAAGCAAATCTGAAGTCATGCAAGATCACAACGTCTGCAAAAACACGAATGCCTTGAAAAACCTTTTGACACAGACATGTTGATGCAATTTCGTGCTCTGCACCTACAGTATACATCAGTATATAAAACATCAGTATGTATAAAACTTTGTGTACCTGAATATTGACATTACCCATCAAAAGACACAACAGCTGGTGACACATAGCTATTATTACATAGCAATCACAGAGACACTTTAATAACTGGCAAGATAAGCTGTCATTGCATGGCAGCAAATCTTCTCCAGTAAACCTACATTGAAGCAAAGCAAACAGCGAACCATTGTGCATTCCTAGACTTGCACTGATGCATGTAAATTATTGATCATCCAGACTTCAGAGGGGTTTGGGGTGAAGATGAGAAGAGGTAATAGATTTGGACCATTCTATGCACACACACAGAGAGAGAGAGAGAGAGAGAGAGAGAGAGAGATAGAGAGATTTACATCTTACATGTTTGTTATGTTGCTTTACATGTCTTTACTGCAAGGGAATATGCCATTAGCCCTTGAAGGAGTCTTTTTTCATCCTTATGGAAAGCAGAAATGTCAAAATAATGTTGAAAACCTTATTAGCAATGTGTTTGTCTTTTTGGAAGTGCTATCTGCTAACATGCTGACACTGATATACACAAATATAGTTAAAAGCACAATTAACATTAAAGCACAAAAAGGATTAAATGCAATGTATACTGTTTATATATATGCACACACACACTTAAAAATGAATAAATAATCAAATAAACAACTAACTATTGTCACGGTCACACCAGGCTATTCCACCACTCAGTGCACTCAATCTCCAGAATACTGATCACTCACACCTGTTCCTCATCATCCCATCTCCAGAAACAGCACTATAATAGCGCACACTCCTCGTTGCTGTTTTGTCTGGTCTCCCTTGTATCTCTCAGCTTATGACGAAACAATTGGGCTTGAGCATTTCATCCAACTCTCCATTCATGTCTCTAATTGTGTCATGGAAAATCAGTGCCAAAATCCCGCCTACTATCCCCACCAGCCAGAGTATCCCAGCTCTCCAGAACCACCCCACAATCCCATGCAGATTGATCACGTCTGTCTTCGGCCAAGCAACAATGTCGGCTGATCTAGGGGCTATGTCTATGGTCATTCAAACATGTCCCATCCATCCTCCCAGACCCATGGTGAATGTTGTTTCATCCTCTTCTGTAAATACTCATCCGCTCACCACTATGGTGCAGCTTACTACTCTTCACCACTCTGCCTTCTCCCAGAAGCTATCCTCGGCAAAGCAAAATTATGACATTGACAAAAGAGAGCTCTTGGTAATCAAACTAGCTCTAGAGGAATGGAGACACTGGTTGGAATGGTCCCATCATCTGTTTGTGGTTCTCACCGATCATCGCAACTTGGAATCTCTCCGGGAAGCTAAAAGACTCTAAGCCCAGACAGGCCAGGTGGGCCCTCTTCTTCACATGCTTTAATTCCTCCATCTCTTACCATCCAGGGATCAAGAATACCAAGGCGGATGCTCTTTCTCATCTCCACGCTCCAGAGGAAGTTCCTGAGAAACCTGAGTCCATTCTCACTCCAGAATTGATAGTCAGCCCAATTCAATGGTCTCTGGACAAGGAAATAGCATCCGCCAGTTATCTCCGATCCTCCTCTACCGGGGTGTCTCCTAAATCGCAACTATATACCTAAAACTCAACGTGTGCCTCTGATTCACTCTGTGCACACTTCCCTGGGCACTGGCCAGCTTGGGACCAATCAAACCCTCTCGCTGTTTCTAGATCGCTTCTGGTGGCCCGGAATGGCTTAATACATCCCTTTTCTCCCTCCTAGGTGTGACTGTAAGCCTTTCATGAGGATACCATCCGCAAAGCAAAAGGAAAATCCAGGAGATAGACCGTTACCTCCATACCTTCTGCCACAGCCACCAGAACTCCTGGAACTGTTACCTTGCCTGGACCGAGTACGCACAGAATTCCCTCCGCCAGTCTTCCACGGATTTGACACCATTCCATTGCATACTCTGCTACCAACCACCACTGTTCCCCTGGTCTGAGGGAACCTTCCGACATACCATCGATCACTCACTGGTTCCAGGAGAGCAAGAGGGTCTGGGACTCAGCACATCAATACCTTCAATGGGCTGTTCATCGCCACCAACTACATGCCAGTGCTCGGAGAGCCTCCATTCCTGTCTTTCAACCTGGACAAAAGGTTTGGCTCTCCACTCGGGACATCCGGTTACGATTTCCCTGTAAGAAGGGAAGTCCCAGGTTCATTGGTCCCTTCCCGGTAATTCACCGTCACAAATTAATTAAAACTCCCTGCACAGTATAAGATCCACCACACATTTCATGTTTCCCTTCTCAAACCTTATCATTCACCTGTCTCGCCTCTCTCCAAAGAGCCTGGTCGCATTGATCCCCCTCTTCCGATGGTATTGGAAGACGGAACGGTCTACTCGGTGAAGGAGATCCTAAATTCCTAGCACCATGGTGGTCGGCTGGAATATCTTGTCGACTGGGTTGGATATGATCGAGAAGAAAGATCTTTGATCTCCAGGGACAACATATCAGATCCAAACCTACTAATCGAGTTCCATGCGTCACATCCACAATGTCCAGCACCACGTGGGAGAGGCCACCCACCACAACATTGGGGTTTTCTGCCCTTAGGAGTGGGCCGTGGTTCTTTCACGGTCACACCAGGCTCTTCCACTACTCAAGTGTGCACTAAATCTCAAGAATACTGATCACTCATACCTGTTCCTCATCATCCCATCACCAAAATCAGCACTATAAGAGTGCACACTCCTGTCTGCCACTTTGTCTGGTCTCCCTTGTGTATTAAGACTCAAACACAAACAATTTCTTTATACAGTACCTGCTATCCTATGAAACTCCCAAGATATTCTTTGTCTCCCTTGTGTTCTCCTGTGTCTGCCAGTATTCCCCAAACTCCTTACCGGCATCACTCACCTGTCCCTAGCTCCTGGAATCTCTTCGTCTGTTTCGTCACTCATTGTGTGCACTCCATCAACCTGATAATACAAAAACATTCTTCAATACTACTATTATCATCAAGAAAGACTCTCTTTTGCCTTTATTGATCCGCTATTTTTCATTTCTCAAATTGTCAATAAACTCACCTGTTTGGTCTCGGAGTCTGATATCCCATAACAACTACTAAATAAATTTTAGCAATTACACAATTAAATTAAAATAAAAAGTGATAGTTAAATTAATAATAACTTATAAATAACATATATATTTTGTACAATAATGGATAAAATATATAAATATATTATGTAAAATATATTACATAAAAATTATTTTAAAAAACTATTGTTATCTAAATGTGTGTGTGTGCGTGTGCACAAAGTTATACATAATAAAATTAATTAATACAATTGAAAAGCAATTTAAAACTTCAAATGCACATTTAAAAATGAAGTGATATATTAAACAATTAATAACACCTATACAAATTATATAAATAATTATAATTTATAAAAAACTAAATAAAATATATTTAATAATTTATAAAATATAATTTAATACATTTATTATTTTATAATATAATTATAAAATATGAATATAGAATTTACCACATCGCTAAGCTTTATTTTTTTTAGCTGGGTAAGACTCTGGGTGTCCTACTATATTTTCTTGGAAAAATCTAACCCCTATATTTCATCTGTAATGAAAAACACACTATCCATTTAGTCTGAATTAACGTAGATGTTAATTAACCATCTGGACATGATCATATCCATTTTAGAATACATGTTCGTTTTCATCTCTAACAAGGGGGAATAATTACATCTAATTTATTTTCGGAACTCATTAATTGTTTCATTCACACTGTAGTATCACCACTGTGGACTGTGAGAAATAGCAAAATAATTATATAAGAAAACATTCTTTGTCCATATGGCTCTACATACAGCTGTATCTAGTTCGCAGCATTTAAACTGATATCAAACCTTTTTGTTGATTGTGAAAGCTACATTTTGCAAGCACTGGCCTTATAAACTGCAATCTTTAAGAAGGAAAATCACTCTGATGCTCAAATGAACATCTCTACTACATAAATTTAATTTTTAATGCCGCTTCTTCAACATTAATGGGGACTAGTCATTTAGAATGTGTTTTTGATTTAAATGGCTCTCGAGGATAACTTGAACACAAAGTAAACGGTTTAAATAATAATAATACATTTTAATTGGCTTTAATAGTAGATAATATGTTAAACTAATGCCTTCGACTTTTGCAAAGGAAAATGCTGTTTGCTCAGGAGAAGATAACAAATCCACAAAAGCTGATATCATCATATTACTGTCAAAAACGCACCTGAACTGTCGCATGTATTTCTCTGCTGAAATGTGATAACCTTCCAAATAGTGTTGTTTTTGGCGGCCTGTTTTAATTTTAGTTTTAGTCTAGTCTTTGTGTGAAGCTGTCATTTTAGTTTTTATTAGTTGTAGTCATGTTCATCCTCTTTTTAGTCAACTAAAAGTCTGAGCATTTTAGTCTTATTTTAGTCAGAATTATCCATGACTATTTTCGTCTAGTTTTAGTCGACGAAAACTGATGACATTTTAGTCTAGTTTTAGTCGACAAAAACTGATGACATTTAGTCTAGTTTTAGTCAATGTAAATTATGTTTTAGTCTCTTTTTAGAAATGCAATTCTATTTAACCCAGTCAATATAGTGCTGGGTAATTTTGTTGCAGTAGCACGAGATAGCTTGATTTAAAACTTTGGATTGAATAAAAAATGACAAGGAGGCTAAGCAGTTTATAATAAAATAAGAACAAATAAAGAAATTACTAATGGTAGCACAAATTTAAAAAATCAGAGGGCAGCATTACCAGAGTTGCCCATTTACCACACCTTGTTACAACACAGTAGGGCTATTGCAAACAGAAACAATACTGTACTACATAGATGTTTCCTGTCAGCTCGATTTCTGAGTGGACTTTGCTGTTCCGATTCGCATGAACAGTATATGAGTGGAGCACTCGCATGGGCCGTGAGCGACTGAGTGGACCGCACATGCATAGAGCGGGATAACACGCAGAGCGTCACACCACATGAAAGTAAATCCTGAGTGGTGAACTAATTTTCGGCAGCCGGAATTTCAGTGCATCTCTAATTATTGGCGACATTAGAAATGGATATTCTCGACAGACGTGGCACCCCGGTTGGGAAACACTGTTCTAAATAATGCCGCGAGTGGGGCTTGAGGAAGTGACGCCGCCTGAGTCTGTGCAGTGCGACCTGATGCAGCCCCTGACGTGAGACACAGGAAACAGAAATACTGCAAAATAATAATAATAACACGACTAAATGAGACGAAGTAACGTTATAACATTTCATTTCATCTCGTTTTGGTCAATGAAAATGAAGACATTTTAGCATAGATTTTCTTGGTAAACCACATTTAGTCTCGTTTTTATTCGTCAACAATATTGCATTATACATTTAATTATAGTCATTGTCACATGACCAGCATTTACGTTGCGTCTCGTCTTCGTCACGTGATAAAGGTTCGTTGAGGATGATATTTAGTCATAATTTTCGTTGACGAAAGCAACACTACTTCCAAAAAGGAAAAATTACGAGAACAATCTACAATGTCGCTACCGTTTCAATTCAGGGAATGTGTTCCATACAGTTCTATTGGTTCAGTTCTTTGATATTTTAAGGCCTGGTTACACCTAAAAGTTCAACTCAAATGACCCGATCATAAGTGGGTTTTTTTTAAACGTTCAAAACATCCAGTTTTTTTACGTATTAGGAATGTTTCTTCTTAGTTTTAGGGGAACATTCCATTCTATCATTTTGAAAGTTTTATAAAAATGATACATTTTGAATGTTCTCTCAATGATTAAAACAGCCATTTTCATATTTAAAGAACGTTTCCTCTTGGTTATGCGAACGTTAGAGGAACAAAACCTTTGGACCTTTATGAATTTATATTAATACCAAGGGTAAACACTGTCCTAGTGGGCAGAATCAGCTTCTTACAACATGAGATCACCATACGTTACACATAAAACTTCCCTGCTGGTTCAACACGGTATTGGCATTGTGATTATTTAGCAATCACATACAACAGGCTTCATTTATTAGCCGTCATTGATTTTGTCATTGTTATTGTCACCGTGAGATGAAGGGGCCCAGAACACGCTGGTCTCCTACGGCAATGAGAATTCAGTGTGCAGGTGCTACAGGGACAGTGAGGCGCATAATTCAATTGCAACATCACAGCACAAACTTTCTCCAACCGATAGATCCCATGGTACACTTTACAACCAATGGAAGTGGATCAGAGACCTATCAATAAGAAATTAAAAGATTTCAGTCATATTTCAGAAGTGTCTTTACAAAACAATATCTAAGCAGCTGCCTAGGAGAAATCCACAGTCTGAGTTTGAATGCATCACACATTGCTGTACTCAAATGTTCATCTATTTATAGAAACACACAAAGATATAAAGTCTATAAGTCATATATATTCTGTGTGTAGAAGTGGAGCTCTATAAATGATAATAGATGAGGCAGGGATTCTCCAGATGCGCAAGAGAGTGTTGAAATACCTTCTGGTGCTCCTGCCATCAGCTCAAGGTTGGCCCAAATCAGCCGTAGATTGCTTTATATCACTGCCATTGAATCTTCAAGCACTAGCCACTTCCATCTTATCAAAAAGGTCAGAAGATTTATTATTTCACCCTTCCTTGGTTACCAAATCGTGATTTTTTTCCTTTGAAACCCAGGAAAGGTCTTTGTGTTTGGTTTAAAAGGCTTTTAATATTCAGTATTTTTCCCAATGTATACTTCAGACTGGAATGGGATGTGCAAAAATGGAGCGATGAAAGCTTTGAAGCCTTACTTAAAGGCTCAGTCATGGCAAAATGTTAAAAGATCAACTGTTTCCAGAAGCCTAAGAACGGATGAACAAGCAAGGAAAAAAACAAAAACAAATAGAACTTAAAATGGTGGATTTAACACCAAAGAGAAAGTAATTAGTTAGAACTAATAGGCAAATGTAACATCACCTAATTAAT